GCGAGTAAGTGTTTGTCAATCCAGCTTTGCGTAGAACCAGGTCACCAACTTGAAACTGGCGAGCTCGAACCCTTTTATTGTAAAATTTTGCAACACGATTTTGATGTGCCATGTTTCTTATTCGTGACATCTCCCTGATTTCTTCCACAAAGTCCAGGTTCTCCCTTAAGAGTTGTTCATTACTCTGATTGTCATGGCGATCTGATCTATCGGATGGCAATCCCACTTCCACTGGGATGACGGCCTCAGCTCCATAGGCCAGGCTGAAAGGGGTTTCGCCTGTGGCCGAGCTGGGTGTGGTACGACAAGACCAAAGCACTTTATTGAGCTCGTCAACCCAATTAGAATGTGTAGCCAACACTCGTGCCTTGAGGCCCCGCAAGACGATTTTATTGGCGGACTCGGCTTGCCCATTGGACTGTGGAGTGTACACAGATGTCAAGGCGAGCTCAATGCCGTAATCGTTGCAAAACGATCTCAACGCCGCTGCTCGGAACTACGGCCCGTTGTCGGTGATAATCCGCTTAGGTATGCCGAACCTGCGCACAGATTAGCGAGCTGAGCTACAAATTACGTTTGCATATATTTTATGACCTTGGTCACCAAAGAATACCTGCACAATATTGAATTGAACAAGAATTCTTCTATTTTTCTTTCTGTTGTGGTGGATAATGGTTTAGCTTCTATCCACTTAGTGAAGTAATCCATTGCGACGACCAGGAAAGTGCAGCCTCCTTTGCCTTTGATGAAGGGGCCGAGCAGGTCGACACCCCATTGAGCGAAGGGCCAGGGAGACGTAAGAGATGACAGCATTTCCCCTGTTTAAAGGAAGGCACACATGCTCAGTTCAGAGACAGTTACTAAGTTAGCATAAACTATAGGACGAGCTTGGGTACCTGGCATGTGAATATCATCAGCATTGAACTGGCAAGTCGGGCACTTTTTGACATAATTTTGTGCGTCCTCGACCATAGTGGGCCAGTAATAACCATGCCTTAGGAGCTTCCGGGCTAAGGTTCTGCCACCGATGTGCGTGCCACAAACTCCCTCGTGAACTTCTCTCACGGCATATTCGGCTTCATAAGGAGTAAGGCAGCGTAAGAGGGGCATTGAGGTTGCACGTTTGTAGAGGTGGTTATCTAACAAAGTGAAATGTGCTGCCCTTCGTTTAATCGATTTCGCAGCGGACAGATCTTCAGGCAACTCGCCACTTTGCAGATAATTTATGAGTGGTGTAGTCCAGCTCGGTGTGGAGGGATCTGTACTGAGTAGTTGACAGTCGACTGTGAAATCAGTGTAACTTGGTGCGTCAAGCACCTCGATGATTGTTGACCTTCGAGGGTTAATGTTCTGCGAGGAGGCTAACTTTGACAGCTCATCAGCTCGGTGGTTATCTGCCCGCGGTATTTTGTCGATCTGAAATGAAGCAAATCTTGACTTCAATCTGTTGACCATAGAGGCATAACGGCCGAGCTGGAGATCCCTGATGTCGCAACTGCCATTCACCTGGTGGACGACGAGCTGAGAGTCGCTGAAGACCTGAATGCTTTGTACCTTCAGCTCGGCCGCCAG